ACAGAGAGACACAGGTAGGGAAGAAGGTCCTCCACGAGATGGCAGGCAGAGATTAGGGTTATCCTGCCCTGAGCCAAGGAATGCAATGCGCTGGGGCCACCAGAATCTGAAAGAGGCAAGAAAGGATTCTTCCCTGGAGCCGTCAGAGGGAATGTGGCCCTGCAACACCTTGATTTCCAACTCCAAGACTCCAGAACTTTGAGAGAATAAATGTCCATCGTGTTGAGCCTTCCAGCTTGTGCTAGTTTGCCCAGCAGCCCTAGGAAACCAATACGCTTCACATGACATACAAGAGCCTTTGGGTCATCCCTGTGCACCTGTCTAGCCTTGTCTCCTGTCTCTGCTCCCTGTTTATTGATCTTTATATCAAAAATATGAATGGGGCACCTGCTACATGTCAAGCCCCAGAGCTACAGCAACGAGAAAGACGTGGTGTCTGCCCTGCAGGAGCTCCCAGCCTAGAGGAGAGGATTTCTGGACGAGGCACTAAGGGCTTTGGCAGGGCTAGAGGGTGACTTACCAGCCACTCCCACCTTCCTGTACCTCTCTGTGCTCCTGCACGACAAAGGATGCCTTTCTCTACTTTAGAAACCCTCCTCTACCCATTTCTCCCACCCAGCATCACTCCCTCCTCTGTCCAACTTCAGAACTTGGTTACGATGAGCACGTTTCTGTTAGTGTATCCATCACACATATGTAAATTATTTATTTGTTTGCCTCCCTGATTAGACTGTGAGCTATTTTGAGGACGTGGACTGTAGGTGTTTCTCTTATCCCTCTTTTTATCTACAGAGCCTCAAACAGGACCTGGATCAAGGTAGTTTCTCTTAAAGAGTATGTTGAGCTGACTGAGAGGATGGAGAGTGTCCTCCTGCCTCTCAGGGGGTAGGGGGCCTCTCGTCATTGCTAGTTCACTGTGCAGCCCTAAGGTGGGAGGTGGGAGAGAGTGCAGCCTGGTATGGGCGGTGGAGGGAGCAGAATGGGGTAGTTCTCTGGTTGCACGTGGTGTAAGAGGCCCGGGAGGAGGACATGGGGCTAAAGAAGGCTTTAAATGCCATCATCGGGGCATCTTCACAGGCAGAGAGATTCATAGTCAGACCTGGGGCACTGCTCTAGCGAGGCCCGTGAGAAACTTTTGCTTCAACACTTTTTCTCAAACACGAATGAACATCAGGACCACCTGGAGGGCTTGTTCAGTGGCAATTGCTGGGCGCCACCCCCAGAGTTTCTGATTCAGTAGATCTGGGGGTGCAGGGCCAATCATTTGCATTCCTAACATGGTCCTAGGGGTTACCAATGGTGCTGGTCTGGGGGCCATTTGGGAACCCTTGCATTAGAGGAATATCTGATATTAGACCTGCAGTTCTTCACTAGCATCACTTGGGGAGTTTTAAAAAACACAGATGCTGGGATCTGACCCCCACATTGGTCGTGGGGTGTGATTGTTACAGGGCTTGGGACTCCAACTGAGCAAAACATTGGTTTGATTAAAGCTCATTTAGAAAATGTCATGAATTGATGAATTCATCAAACTTTGTGCATTTGCTATGTGGCAGGCATTGTGTAGGTAACGGGGATGAAAAGATGAACAAGACACCATCCTACCCCCAGGGAGCCATCAGTCCAGTGCAGGGTAAGTGTATAAACAGTTCTAAAATTACGTGGTAGAGGAGTGATGGTGTTATACACAGAGCATTATGGGAGCACTGAGGACGTGGTTCTAATCTGGCTTGGAGACAGAAAGAGAAAGAGGAAGCTCAGGGATGTGGATAAAGAGATGAGGTGGTGATCTGGTTCAATAGTTGTAGAAATCCCAATAGGGGAGCTTCTAGTTGGTATAATATGAGCCCAAGATGTTCTGGAAAGAACTTCTACCCAAACCCAAATGCATGCGTCACCTCTTACTGGATGTACAACCTGGGACAAATTGCCTAACCTCTATTTGCTTCACTGTCCCCATATTTAAAAGGGGAACAATAATAATAATACTTCCCTCGTGGAACTGTTGTGAGGACTAAATGACATACATACATACAATGCTTTGTAGAGCGAAGGGCTCAAATTTCACGGACCACAGCTCTCAGAACTGCGCATAGTCTAGCAAGCACTTGGAAAATGTTATTAGCATCATAACTTCAGAAGGCGCCCTTTAAACCTCCAGTTGTGCCCATCATCACTGGCACTTTTAGCTTATGTTGCTGTGCGGTAGAGCAGAGATCCCCGCGCGTGCACTGGGATGCACTGGATTGCCCCGCCCCCTATGCTAAGTGACCACAGGCTCCTACAGCTTTGGGGTTCTTGTGTCAAGTTTTCAGTTTGCCTGCTCTTCCCTCTGTCAGTGTACTTGTCCTTGGGAGCCTTTTTTCCCACCTCTTTGGAATGACTGCTTTTAATCTACTATAGCCAAGAAACCTCCAAAGCCCAGATTGTGTAATTGTGCCTAAAATGTAGCTAGACTTTGAGCGGGAGAGTTATCATTCAGTAAAGAAGGTGTGCCTCAGTGCATGTCACTTTTTGACATCAGAGGCCCTTTTTGTTTCCTCTTATATGCCTGATGGTGATCTGAAGGACTAACTTCCTGGGATGAAAGATTTCCTGATAGGAGGGGTATTACTGCTCAGTCTAGGCTGGTTTCTGCTCAGGCTTCACTGTGATTCTTTTATTTGGGGGATCGCAGTTGAATGCACACTCTTGGTTAAAGTCAGACTTATTTTTGTCCCGAATTCCCAGTCACATTCTCTCCTGTCTCTAGAGCCTCCCTTCTTTTCTCAGGAATCTGGACCTAGTCCCCACCTGTCGTGTAGCTCCCAGGTGTTCCTGATCCACCTTCATCTGAACGTGCCTGGCGTTCACCTGCTGCTGGTCCCAAACTATTCTCCATTTCAGACAATGTTTGTGTTAGCTAAATATTGGCATGTCGTAAATGTGGCATGTTCACAAACACCGTGGCAGATCGCTGAGCAGGTGTTCTAAGATTTACAAGTTGGTTTTCATTTACCGGCACTCCTGACGACCCTGTTCTTGTAAGGATCGTGCTGTGCTCCAGTTCACTGTTTCTCAAACTCTGCGCTCATTAGCATTGCCTGGGGGAGCATTTAGAAATCCCAGTGCCCAGGCCAACCACCAGACCGATTAAGTCAGACTCTTGGCGGGTGGGACTCGGGCCTCAGTGGTTTTAAGAACTCCCCAGGTGACTCCAATGTCCAGCCACGTTTAAGGACTTGCTCCCCCGTCCAGTGCTTCTCAGACTTTAACATGTATAAAAATCACCTGAGGGTCTTGTTAAACTATAAATTCTGATTCAGTAGGTCTACTGAGATTCTGCATTTCTAATTAAGCACCTGGGCCACGTGGCTGTTGCTCCTAGACCAGGATCCACACTTTAAGTATCAAGGTAGGAGTCCTTTCTAGCGCCTCTTCATGCGTCTAAAAAAAATTTCTGGAAATCCATAGTCCTTCTAAGTTTGTGATTATTTCCACATTTATCAATGGCTTCCCTAAATCTCGCTCCTTGTCTATTACTCTGTCCACACCCTTCGGCAACACTCTATGACAAAGTCATCTCACTCTATGTGTCAGTATTCTATTTTCCTCTAGATAGCGAGTCTCTTGAAAAGAACTCACACGGTAGCATAGCAGAGTAATCTAGCTAAACCCAAGCAGATTTTCCTGTGGATCTTATTTTTCTGTCTACGCACAAAGCTCACTGGGCACAGGGACATGTCCTCCAGGCTAAGCAAACTCTTTGAACGCTGCATGCTTTAGCAAATGATAATATCCCAGGATCAATGATTACTGCTCCAAACAGGCTGGTCGCAAACACTATGTCTTCAGTTCAAAAGAAATCATGAACGATGGCAAAAGGATCGGAGGAAAGCACAAAGCAAAAAAGTAATTTTCTGTTTGGCTAGGATTCCCTATCACAGTACCTTGGAAAATGTAATTTCTTGGCCAACATTCTCGTGGCTTTAGAGCAATGTTTGTCAAACAGCTATCTGTGGACACTGGTCTGTGGACATACTCTTGGGGATTCACAACTTTCCTAGTAGGCTTTTTCTATAGTGTATTTAATGCTGATAATAACTAATATGTAAAAGCTGGTATGAAATGTATTGCATAATCAGGATGCCTGCATTTGTGTTCAATGCCAAATAGCCATACTTTAATTGTTGCAAGCTAATGATAAAAGAACAGAGAACAGAGGGAGGTTTAATATAAAAAGCATACATTTTAGCCAAGAGAAGGCCCAACTGTATTACAGGAAGTCTTACAAACAAAAGGTTCTCAGTTGTTTGGATAGAGAAATATGATAGAAGAACCAGGAAGTCACACACCACATCATATCTTAGACATTCTGCAACTCAAAAACCCTCACATTATAGCAATCAGCACCGTTTTACACTGAGCACAGCATTTAATCTCAGCAATCTCATTATCTATTACACTACATCAATAACATACTTTTCGCACATCATTGACTTGTATTGTACTAGCATTTAGTTTGTAAATTTGCTTTGGTTTTGTAGTTGCTTTAAAACTATGAGCTTGGGAGTTTTAAGTTTGTGCATATTCAAGTCACTTTCTAATGCAAATAATTTGTCGCGACTGGGACCACTCTTTGTCCTTTAAAAAGGTTTTACATTTACTTATTTAGAAACACAGTCTGAGGGCATGTCCACGCCTTGTGCACATGTTTAAATTCCAGTTGTATTTCCTACAGTGTCACAGAGGCATAGTGTGGTATCATGTACTCTGTTGCAGGGCATCCTTAAGGGAACGTTGTTGGGAAGAGAAGCTGAGTTCCGAGGTTACATTTTTACCTTAGCTGCAATTATTGTAACATTTTCTAGGGAAAAAAAAAATTTCCCTGCTTGGAAGCAATCCCTGATGGGATCAGAGGATTGTGAAGGGTCCAGTATGACAAGTCATTTGTGAGTAATATGGGTCCCATGAGAAAGCCCTTTGATACGATTGATTTGGAGGGAAAATAAAGTGCTTACTGGCTGATGGGACTCTGGTTCTCCCCTCCCTGACGGGTGGCTGCGAGGCTGCACGGCTGCCGAGGGTTGGGCAGGCCCTTTGGGCAACTGTTGACTGCCTTCTGGCAGGGAGTAAGACTGGCTCTGAAGATTCAAAAAAGAAATACATAAAAATGCTAGACCACTCACACAAGCCAGCTGCCCCATGGGGTTGACTTTCAAGGGATGAAAACATCCTCCTTAAACTGCTGAGGCGGGGCCAGTGATTTTTCCTGAGGTCCTCTGCATCAATCAAAAGTATTGTAAAAGTGGGTTTCAGTGTCTCTGAAAGAGAATCTAAGTGGATTCCTTGGCTAGTCTGAAAATGCTATTTACAGATGATTTTAAAAAATAACGCCTCTCCGAAGAAGATGCTTGTAGGTTTGCAACCATCTGTGTACAAGTTTAATTTACAGCAAAGGAGAAAACCTTATAAACAAAGTTCTAGTTTACAGAAAATCTTTGGAGTTTTATTCTCTACGATCCTAGTGAACAGACAATAAATCCTTCTTGCCATGGGAAGCAACAGTAGGTACTACAAAACCTTATTAAAACTATTCTTGCAAAAGCTTTAGGTATACCTGTTTTTGCTGTTAAAAAAATTCAAGATTTAACTCTGACCTGCCTTGTGCATAGTTGGTTCTGAATGGTAGTATTTTGGGCAGTTTTTTAGCCGTTAATCATTTATAGACATGCTATTCACATGAGCCTAGACATTTCAGAAGAAAAGGAAAATATGAAATCCATTCCATGAATATTTACAAATATCTGATGGTTGATGCTGTTTAGAAAAAATACTGGGGTATTTTTACCTTTCAATCCAAGTTATATGGGCTTATAGGGATACTGTTACCTTTGTGAACCTGTATTCCCAAGACACTGATGGACACAGTTAAGGAAGCTTTGTGCAGCTTTGCTAGAGACTAACAGCTTTTAGTTATACATTCCTCAAATACCATTTTAACCACCTGCTCTCTGCAAGGCCCTGTTTACTACCTTGTTTTAAACACTTCCCTTTAGCTCCTCCTAAGAGAGTTCTGACTAATGGAGAAAAAATATATTCCAAATGCATTTTAAAAGCGTGGTATGCTGTGCTGAAAACCAACAATTAGGGGTGATCACAATGGTAAATATCAATCATGATTTCATAGTTTAAATTTCTCCGCATGCTAAGCGAAATTAGAACTTGGTTTGATTCCCAAAAGCAATAAATACTTACATGCCGATTGCCCATTTTCGTTTTTTTCAGAGACGGTTGTTCTGTATTTCATTAAGAGATCAATTCTTCTACAGGCCAGGTTTATAATGGGTTTCCCAGGGCATAATATCTCTTGAGTTTAATAAGTAACTTTTGGCATTGAATTTGAATATGTTGTTGGGGATGGGTAGGGCACGGCCCCAGCTACAAATGATCTTAACCTGCCCTACCTGCCTTGGTTGGCCATCTTTTAAAAATAAAATATTTATTAATAAATCAGGTGTAGGCCTTTAAAGTTGAATATCTTCTTCCCAAATAAAGGACTAAACCTGTCTCATTCCTGGATTATTAAAGTTATTCTTTGTGTTCTTTTTTAATTTTAGGTGTTCATTTAAAATTTTGTACCTTGGAATGATAAAAGCATTAACCAAACAAGATTGAACAGTCTTCTTATTTTACTAACATCACTATAATTATGACAGAGAATCTTTTTGAAGGCTACACTGAGTTATGCTAACATCATTTTTATAATATAGCTAGTTTTTAAATTTAAAAAGGGATGTGTGCAGATGGTACATTTTTTTCCCCCTAATAATATGAAAAGGTACCATAAAAAGTAAGCCTACAGAGCTCTCAGTCCCTTCCCCCTGATGTTTAAGTGAGTCCTTCCAGAAATGGTAAGCATACAGAGCCATGTTTATCTGTCTCTCTGTTTATGGGGTTGTCTGTTTATTTCTGGCTTTTTTTTTTTCCCTCAACAAATGGGTTTGTACATTGCATTCTATTCAGCACCTGAGTATTTCATATACCAAGTAGATACAAGACATTGACGCATTTCTTTCTCAGTGGCCGTGAGGTAGTCTACTATGGGTATGAACCAGACCTTACCTAACCAGTTCACTATGCAAGGTCATTTAGGTTCTTTTGGTCTTTTGCATGAATATCTTCATTTATGCATCTTTGCATATGTGTGCATGTTTATCTGTAGATATAAAATCTTAGAATGCAATTGCTGGCCACAGTATGCGCATTAAAATTCCGAGAAATGTTACCAGGTTGCCCTACACACAGACGAAAAAATGCTGAATGACTTTCAAAGACCAGCTGACCCACAAGGCTGACTTTCGAAAGACAAAGTGTATACCTGCCTACAGTGCTCCTGTCCCCGCATACTGGCCAACACTATAAAGACTATCAGACTTTTTCACTTTTGCCAGTTTCAAAGATAAAAAATGATCATCTCACTGTTTAGTTTATATTCTTTTTCATTGATAGTTTTAAAATTATATACCTCATTCCTTAAAAGTCATTTGTATTAATTTTGCTGCAGTCTGCTTATGTCCTTCATTTTTATTTTGAGTTATTAGTTTTTTCGTTATTTACTTGTAACAATATTTATCATAAAATCTAGGTCCCTGTGAAATGTAGCGATGATAATCCTCCAATTTATCTTTTGTCTCTGTTTATGTTTTGAGTGTGTATGTGCGTGTGAAGAAAGTTTTAGTTTTTATGTATTTAAATATGCCAATCTTTTCTTCTTTGGCTTGCTTAGAAAAAGTCTCTGCATTAAGATGATTAAGACTTCTTATACATTTTCTTCAAGTTTTTTTAATGACTCATTTTTCGAGGCTTACATCTTTGATTCATTTGGAATTGATTTTGATGTAGAATAAGGAAGGAATGGATTCCGCTTTAGTTTTGGTTATTCAATCGATCCTAGGTCGTTATTAATTAATTCATCTTTCCTCTTCTGGTCTGAGATGCCATCCTTATTTTATGCTACATTCCCATGTAATTGTAGTATGAAAATTCATATAGATTTTTTACATTCTGGTTACATATTTTCATTCTTTTTGTTCTTTAACCTTTATCTGTCGAGTGTCTTGGATGGTCTATTGCTGGGACTACAACAGTGAACAAAACGGTTATGAATTTTCTCTTCCTAGAACATACAGCCAAGTGGAGGAGATACACAAAGAACAACGCATGACAGATTGTTGTATGGGCTGGGAAGAAACCAAACAGGATGCTGTGATGGAGGCTAACATGTGTACGCGCACGCACGTGTGCACAAGAGTGTGTAAAATTTACTTTAAATAGGGATAGAGCTCTTCAAGGAGCTAACATTTAAGCTGTGAATCAAAGGATGAGATGGAGATCATCATTTGAAAAGAGAAAGTGTTCTTAGTTTGTGCTAAGGTTCAGAAATAGGAAAGAGCTTTTCAAGTTGCGGGAAATGAAAGATGGCCAAAGAGACTGGAGTCTGTTGTGTGCCAGGTGGGATAATGGGTGCTGGAGATACAGTGGCACATAAGACAGAACTGCCCTCCAGTGCTGACAGTGGAATGGGGCAGGAGGCAAGAAAATGTAAGTTAACAGCAAACACTTTGACCATTCTCTATTATTTTGTCTTTAGTGTCTAATTTGTGCTTTCTAGTTCACTGCCTCCTTTTCCCAGCCCCAGACTTCTCAGGGCCAGGTCTTCCCTGCCACATCTCCGTGTTGGCTTTGTGTCACTACCCCCTCCCAGAACCCTTGATCAGTGACGGTCTCCCTCCCTCCCTTCCTCTCCCACCCCCGGCCGTTGAAGCTCAAAGTTCAGAAGAAACAGAGTAATCTGACGTGTGGTGCTCAGTGTGGAGATAAGTTCTGTGCAAGGGTACCCAATCACTGAACACAGGAAATTCGTAAAGAAGAGATATCATTTATGACTCCAGGGAGGTGAAAGATAGAAAGCAAGGAGCTGACACACCTGATTTTTCCAGATCATCACTACTATAGCCAGCTCTTGATTATTTAAATCTACCCACAATCACATTTGGATGTGACTGAAATAGAACTATCTTTAGTGTCGCTGCATCCTTTTCTCCTTCCCTAGTTGGATGGGGATGTGGGAAGGTGGCTGGAATAATTCCAAGTGACAGCAGCAGAGGGGAAGGAAGGAAAATTCCTCTGACCCACAGGCCATTTCTGGGAGGATGTCAGGGCTGGAGGTCCAGAGCGGAGAAAAAGAACAGCCTGGGAGAGAAGAGTGAGCAGACTTGATGGCAGGGAGCAGGGCACAAGAAGTGTGATGGGTGGAGTTTAGGGGGGAAGTTGGTATCATTATAAGTATTTAGTGACTCTAAACATTACAGGGGCTGCATGATAATCTTCTACTAGACTGTTCATTTACATCGCTTAGATTTTGGTGGTTCTCAAAGTTGTGATGCCAGCCAAACTACTAATCTCCTTCTAACCTTATGAATCTCAACAGCAAGTCATAAATCAGTCTTGCCAAAAGGAGTCTTTCCTTTTGTACCGCCCTTCAAGGTGAAATTTCTAACATCTCTTAAAAATGTTATTTATACATCTGTGATGGGTTAAATTGTACCCCCTCCCCTCCATCAAAGACACGTTGAAGTCCTCACCCTTAGTACCTCTGAATGTGACTTTATTTGGAAATAGGGTCTTTGAAGATGTAACCAAACTAAGAGGGGGTTATTAGGATGGGCCAGAACCCATTATAATGGGTGTCCAGAACAGAAGAGGAAAATGTCATGTGAAGAGAAGGCCTTGTGATGACAGAGGCAGAGATGGGAGTGATTTAGCTGCAAGCCAGGGAACACCAGAGACTGACAGTCACCGCCAGATGCCAGGAAGAGGCAGGGAAGGATTCTCCCCTGCAGATGTCAGAAGGAGAGTGGCCCTGCTAACACATTGATTTTGAGCTTCTAGCCTCCAGAACTGTGAGACAGTAAATCTCCCTTGTTTTAAGTTACTCAGTTTGTGGTACTTTGTTATTGGCAGCAGCCCTGGGAAGCTAATGCAACATCTCCCAAAACAAACATAAAAACCTCATCAGTTGCTATGATTCTCAGAACAAATACATTATGCTGCATAATTTGTATTTAATAAAACGCCCATTTAGAAATACCTTGGGAAAAGCTCATGTGATAATAAGACCACAAGTATTTCAGATTATTTTTTAGCCCATACAGTATTCAAAATAACAAAAGCACATGGATGCCGAGCTTCTAAATATAAAAGTCAAGTTGAACATTTGCCTAGTGTCCATTTCTGCTGGGAGAATCAATAGTATTTTATTTATTTAGTGTAATTTAGATAGAACCCAAAAATTATAGATGATTTTTGGACTGATATTTTCCTCCACATAAACAAAAGCAAAAAATGTTGTATTTTGTCATGTTTGTTAAAATCCCTTCTTAACTCGCTGATGGGTTCACAAGGACTTACTGTGAGTTTGCCACATGCTAAGCTGCTGGGCATACGGGAAATCTGGAATACAGCTCTCACCCCTCCCTGCCAGATGTTATGTTCTAGGTGGAGAAATAATACATCTACATAAGAAGAAAACACCTTGACTTAATGTAGCATTTTGTGGCAAAAACCCCAAAACTAAAAAAAACAAACCATAGCACTGGGAGAGCAAAGACCTGAGCCAGTTTTAGGCTGGTCTCTGGTACAACTTAGGGGTGTGATCATATCAGTCACACTCTCTCTAGTTCCTGGGTTTCAACTAAGTAAATGTCATGAACTTCCTCTCTACATTTACTTCCAGACCTAAAATACCATGAACGATTTGGCTTTAGGAAGCTGTTAGGACTCTTTTGGTTGCAAGTGACTAAAAATCTGACTCATAATAACTTAAGTGAACAAGGAATTTACTGGCTCACATAATTGGAAAAAATAGTCAGCTTCAGGCATAGCTGGATCCAGCGACTCAAAAATATATCCCTAGGATCCACTATGTCTCTCCATTTGTCAGTTCTGCTTTTCCCTCCTCTCAAAAGGATCCCTTCCCTACCCCATCTCAAAGGCAAAATGGCTGTCAGTGAATTCATATTTTCCTCCTCACAATAAAAGAAGGGTAAAAGTATGGTAGGCTGGCCAAAACAAGAGATGTCCACTGCAGAAGCGCAAAAGGGACAGCGTAAGGGAAGTAAGAGAAGAGAAAGAAAAGGGAAAAGGGAGAGAGAGAGAACGTGATGATGGGAGGAGGAGGTGGAAGTAGTAGCCTGGAGAGTTTCGAACCCTCTTGAACACTGAGGATTGGCCCTGGGGCCACCAAAAGGGGAGCAGAGAGCCCGTCCCTTGGAGCTTTCACTTCCAGCACAGCTTTCTGTGCATCCTC